TTTTGTGCATTACCAGAACTTTGGGGTCTTTCTGCATGTAACACAAACATCATGTCTTCGTTCTATTGTTATTATCTATCTTATTTTGTTTCTATTGATTTACGTAGATTGTGCTCTCCATCCGAAGAAGGCACCAGAACTTAATCATTTGCAAAGATATTCAACTCATCACAATTACATTAGGCTGGCGCCTATTCTTAGGTAGGATCGATAGGTCATTTTTCTTATGACTATGAAAACGCAACATTTTATATGAATATTTTTTTATTTCTATCCCAATAAGGGCTATAAGAGATGGAGGTACTCATAAACACTACCTGGCTCTTATTAGTGGCCATGGGATTACTAAACCAATGCCAGAACGCAGGTATGTTAACTGGCATGAACTATATAATATGATTATATATATACATATATTATAATAACAKCAGCACGATTAAAGGATGAAAGTGGCGTAGTAGCACTTGTGCTCACAACTTGGTATTCTTGGGTTCTATTTCTAGACCCAATATTATATGAGAGCATAATTTTTAGATTTTAAGCCTTTTTGGGGGTATTTCTCCCTTCGGTTTTTCGTAATAAGGAAAGTGTTAGTCGAAGTATTATGATCATCCGGGTTGATGTAGCACTGAGAAGAACTGTTCGATGTGACTGATTTCGTCAACCTGAGCGGAAGTCATCTTCAGAGTCAAGTGAAGAATAATGTCAGATTGGTCATATTCATTCTTCACTTGACTCTGAAGTTGACTTCCACTCAGGTTGTCGAAACKTCAGTCACATCAAACAGTCCTTCTCAGGACTTCATCCATCCGGATGATCATAATACTTCGAGTAACATTCTCCTGGCTTCAGACCGTTCTATATAATACAATTTAAAGTTGCATTTGTTAAAACATTGGCCAAAACATTGACCAAAAATAAAATGAACACCTCTAGCTATAAGTAAGAAGCAACTATTTGAGTTCATAATGTAAACAATTGGAGAAATGGTAACAAACTGCGATATAATCAAATATTTTAKAAGGATTTGTCTTGGCAAGGTCTTTTTTCTTCTAATTCCAGATGGAATCTTATGGGTGGTCAAACCTGATGCATTCACTTACGGACCACAAGGGACTAACATCAGCATGCGATGGAATTATAAACTGGAAACCAATGAGGTGTTCCTGACTTCTGTAATAAATTATAAAGGCGTTGACTTGGCATCAAGGCACCCAGGTGAAAACAGCTATGCCAAATATGTAGGGTATCAGAGTATCTCCTTTAGTATCTCTGGAGCTGAAGATGTTACCTTAACCATCCATAACGCCAAGGTAGTTAACAATGGCAAGTTCTGTTGTGAAGTCGACTACAAATCAAATGAGGGAAAACTAAAGAAAGAAGAGTGTACCACGCTTTTTGCATACGGTAAGATACATTTGGCTTCATATAATATATGTCAAAGTAGCTCGCTTTTAGTGATTGGTTATGGATTGGCAAGTGTTGGACACGTGTTCTGTAACATCACACAATCCGCACGTGTGCGTTTTCTATGTTTTCATTCGCGTTTTAATGTAAACTGTTATTTGTCTAACCTGTATTTCACAATAGAGTGTATGCAGCCGAGTTATAAAGCACTTGGGAAGTAGTAGCACTTTTGAACAAAGTATTGTGCTACACATTATGCTTCTCCCAGCATTTAATTCTCTCGTCTTGTGTTGCCGATCCCTGCGTGCTTTTTGCACATTGGAAATCCCATCCCATCCTATTAGATAAATAATCGTATGTTTGATAGACGATTCGTCAGCGATAAATGCATAATGTTTTTGGTATACATTACATTGATCAGTGTTGCCAGTCATCACCTCTCAAACKCCAGACGTGTCATGTAAGCAACGGGATGTAATCAAGCTACAATGCAATGCTACAGGATATCCACAGCCATCTGGCGTGTGGATATACAGACAAACCCACAAGACAATTGCAAACTCCTTCACGACTTTACTAAACATTGTTAACAAACAATCAGAAGGCACCTACTGCTGTGAGGCGACAAACCGGTTTGGTAAACAAACTAAGTGTTCGTGGATTAACGTAGTAGGTAAGAATTAAAAATGTATATTTCCAAAATTA